TTCTTTCTTTCTTTCTTTCTTTCTTTCTTTCTTTCTTTCTTTCTTCTGCCATGTTTAATCAGAGTTCAAGATCACTATGAGTTTATTCCATGATACCTAGACACACAAAAATCTGATCAAGGCCAATTGGTGCCAGATAAGAGTCAATGGATTTTTTAGGGGGAAGAGGCTGGACATGGGTCTCTTACAGGATTGTACGGACTACAAACTGATGAAGCATTTGAGCCCCTCCCTCGGGCTCAGCTTGGTCATCTGCTACAGCATATTCTGATCTGCTTTTCTAGCCCTTGAGTGGATTTCTGCACATGGAATGGATCCACCTGTGCTGAAGAAAGGTAGATGAGGAAGAACAAGCAGGGCTTAATGATGAGGCATAAGGCTTCCAATGCTTTTCTCTGAGCATTGCTTTAAGTTAGTTAACATTGTGGATTGCATCTAATTATTGTTATTATTTTGCTTTTCTCCAAGAAAACAAAACAACACACATTTCCCCCCTACTTTCTTCCCATAATAATAGCCCTCTATAATAAGCTGGATTTAGGTAGCAAATAATGGGCAGAAAGTTGAATTCCAAAGTTGAACTGGGACTTGAAATTCAAGTCAACAGCCTATCCACTGCATGTGCTACATCATAGTCATAATGTTAGCCTTGTAATGTATAAACAGATTTGAGTTAAAGAGATTTGAGCCTGAGGTGATTTATAAGCTTGCTTTTGTACATTTTACAAATCAGATATTTAATAAATCAAAGGGGGGAGAGATGGGGAATAGGCTTCCAAATATAGTGATTAATAAACCTAAAGTTGATGTTCTTCATCATGTAGCTCCTTAAAATTACTTTATGCTATTAGATTATGAGTGTTACACATAGGTGATATATTACTCATCTGCCTGATTTCATATTTTGGTCCTGCATCATCACTGAGTGACATACAGCACTTTTGAAACACATCTTGATTTATTGCTGACTTACAGCATTTTTAAAATCTTACACAGAAACGGGAAGTGAAAACGTTAGAATTATGAGCATCCAGTGTTCCCGAAGCAGAGTTTTGAATATCTATTAAGCAAATCACTTACAGAAAGTCTGAGAAGTTTTTGAAAATTATAAGTTACCATTGATCAGTGAAGGAATCACATAAGTTTATGTGATGTTGTGGGGCTTTTAAATTTTTGATAAACATAATACAAATTAAACTAAAAGGGAAAGAAAAAAAATCCAGAAGGTTTTTTTAAAAAGGGACTTCCAGAGGAAGAAATGGTGGACTGATGTGCTAAAATGTGTAGCTCTCCTTGGGAGATGATTAAAATTAAAGTAAGAGCTGGTAAATCAGCCCTTCCTCCCCAGACAAAGAAAAGAGCTGAGATTGCCCACAAATGTCCCAGACAGTTGCTCCTCATGAGAAGACAACAGGATAGAGATCTCTGGTGGGCTTAGAACTCTGGGAGATATTTTGCTCACCGCATGCTTAGTATCTTTGAAAGGACACTTGCTCAAGTTCACATACTTGCTGTTCTAATCACTTTTAGAAATTACAAGTTAATTGTGTTTCAGATATTAGGAATCCTTGGAATCAAAAAGTGTTATAGCACCAGGTGAATTTATTTCAAAGAAAGGAAAGTGTTCACTAAAAGTTTAAGAACTTTTTTTTTTTTAATAAATTGCAAACACGTGCTTGAAACTTTGATTTTAGAAACTTACAAACAGACAAAGAGTCCAGATAAGTTTGAAATAAAATTTTGGAATTTATTATAAAGAATTCTTCCCATGGGAAAATGGTGTTTTTTTTAAAAGATACAATTTAAAAATCTGGACAGTAGAGGGAACTAAAGATTACAATTAAAAGGAAAAGAAGATCTTGATTTGATTTACAATTACAGAGCAAAGCAAAACATTCTGACATATTGGAGGATATTTTTGAACAATGAACTCAAAACTTAATTTTAATAGTGTCAACAGAAACATGTGCCTCTATGAATAGACTTCTAAAAGATGTGGCATGGAAACAAGCTCTGTCTGAGAACATGGGCTGGGCTGCTGCCTGGTCAGGCGAACCCAGTGGTGGGATTCAAAAGTTTTTACTACCGGTTCTGTGGGCGTGGCTTGGTGGGCGTGGCAGGGGAAGGATCCTGCAAAATCCCCCTTCCCTCCCCACCCCACTAACCTGCTTTCCAATTCCATTCTCCTGTGCAGGGCAACCAAAGGAGACCCAGACGATCAGCTGGGACTCGATGTGAGGCAGAGAAGAGATGGGGTTGGCAAGTCCAGTCAGAGGTGGCATTGGCTGGTTCTCCGAACGACTCAAAAGTTCCGGTACCGCTTCTCCAGAACTGGTCTGAACCAGCTGAAGACCACTTCTGTGTGAACCCTTAGTTGTGATCACTGGCTGGGCCTGCCCACCTGCCCTTTCCATATATAACTAATTTTATGACTCATTCCCCCCATCCACATTGCCCAGCTGAGTTTCACGCCACCCCTGAGTTTCACGCCACCAGAGCTGCCTGAGTTGATTAGCTGCATGTTTGAAGCTTGATTTCTGACCCAAAGGGGTGCGTGCAAGTGAAACAAGCACATGTACACTCACACCAGAGAACTGGTTGTGCAGCCCACCTCTGCTGAGAACTTCAAGACTGAGTTGATAGTGGGTTTATGAATGACAGGTTACAAGAAAGACATGGATAAAAAGTTACACTGGAAAGAAAGGAAGGAAGGAAAGAAAGAAAAAGGAAGGAAGGAAGGAAGGGAGAGAGAGAGAGAGAGAGAAAGAGAGAGAGAGAGAGAAAGAAAGAAAGAAAGAAAGAAAGAAAGAAAGAAAGAAAGAAAGAGAAAGAAAGAAAGAAAGAAAGATTAAGGCTGTTAGAAATAAAAAGAATGAATACAAAATTGGTTTATTTGGCCAAGGTTAAAGTTGATGCATTGTTATCTCTACTCCATTAAGTAAGGGTTACTTAATGGACTTCTTGTGAAGACAAGACAAGAAGTAAAGCTTGTTAGAGAGGGATCCAATTTAGAAGTAAGGAGAAATTTCCGGATAGTGAGAATGATTAACCAGTGGAACAACTTGCCTCCAGAAGTTATGGTTACTCCCTCACTGGAGGTTTTCAAAATTAGACTGGACAACCATTTGAACCGGATGGTATAAGATCTCCTGCCTTGAGTGGGGAGTTGAACTAACACCTCGGAGGTGCCTTCCAACCCTATTATTCTGTGTTCTGTGTTACTGATGTAGTACAACTTTCCTTCCAAGAGCTGAACTCTGATGGTTTCTCCCTTTCTGTTCCTAGGAATTTTTCTTCGTGTTGCAATGCAGGTCAGCAACCTGGAATGTTGCACAGAAATGCCTTTCGAAGGACTCCTCCTTTGCCACGGGGTAGATTCAATGGCATTACAGGACCAGCATACCAACAACTAGAAGAGTCCAAGATCTCAGATCAGGATACGGGACCTTCTCAAGTGTAAGTAGGAGGAGACGAGACAAACCGGTCTACTATTGAGAATTATACTGAAGGAAGGCATGTGAAAATAAAAGAAAGGATACTTTTTAATGAAATCCTAACGTAAATTTGACAGAACTCTCTTCAAACAGTATCCATGATGGACTCAATTCAAACTTAATTGTGTTTAGACTCAGTTTGCAAATTTTAGTGGGACTGAATCTGTGATGCTCTATTTTATTAATTTTATTTACATTTCATATTTCTGAACTGCTCACCTTACTCAGAGATTTTAGTAAAAGATTAATCCACTAAATTAGTACTTAAAAGGTAAAGGTTCCCCTCGCACGTCTGTGCCAATTGTTTCCGGCTCTAGGGGGCACTGCTCATCTCCGTTACAAAGCCAAAGAGCCAGCGCTGTCCAAAGACGTCTCCGTGGTCATGTGGCCAGCATGACTAAACACCTTCGAAGGCGCATGGAACGCTGTTCCCTTCCCACCAAAGATGGTCCCCATTTTTCTACTTGCATTTTTTTCCTGCTTTCGAACTGCCAGGTTGGCAGAAGCTGGGACAAGGAACGGGAGCTCACTCCGTTACGTGGCACTAGGGATTCGAACTGCTGACCTTTCTGATCGACAAGCTCAGCGACTTAGCCATTGAGCTACTGCATCCCTTATAAAATTATAAGTTAAAATTAGTATTTACACGCTAAAAAATATGGTTAGGCAATTTCATTATCAGGATCAAGAAAGGGCCACAAAGCTTTTTACCAGGCAAGATGTTATGCAGAAAAACAAAACAAAAATGAAAAAAAACTAGGAACAAAGTCCCAAAATTAGATATTCCCATTAAGAAATCTGCAGTTCAAAGTGAGGTTCAGAATAGAGCATGTGAGTATATGAGTAGAATTAATCACACTCATTAGGATCTTAGAATCCATTTGCTCTAATTTATGTAGAAGTTTAAAAACATGACTCTAGATAGAAAATGTTCTGGAAAGTAGATCAATAGACAATCACTGATTAATATTAATCTCCAGGTTGTTGATTTTGGTGAGGCACTGAGGTTTCTCTTTGATCTTTTGTTGTTGTTAGTCATAGTAATTGGAACCACTTATCTCAAAAATTGACTATGGTTGTCCAGATAAATCTATTTTCAATTAGGAAATCTCAGCATAATGCAAGTATCCAAGTTTCAGTGGCCTCTGCCTGAAGAACAAAGCAAGCAGTTGTCCCCAAATTTAACCTAAATCCTCTGTCTCTTTTCCACAGACCTTCCTCAATCTCTGTAGTAACTCTATAGTTATTTGTAAGAGCTGCTTGGGAGATGCCCAACATGGCTATGCTCCCTTGGCCTGCAGTTCAGACTTTTCCCTTTTCAAAGAACAATGTTTTTTCTCTACCTTTCAAGCAGACCTGCTGATGTGCATGGCAGAGAGAAGGTGTGAGTTCAAATTCAGACGCTGGCTGGCATTTAGATTGGTAGAGGCTGCAATGTTACACATGAAAACTGACTACACCCAGTGAAGAAACTTACTGGAATTGTACTCCTAACAGCAAACATTGCTCCTTGCAGGAGGTCAACTAGGTTTGGAAGGACCAAGGTTTTCCATGGCCTGCCCATGATAGAGAAAGACAAGAAATGAGGCAGATTGGAAAGTCTATGGTTCCATTTAGAATTGTGCCTTGGAATCTGGAGGTGGAAGAATTAAATTTGAGCCACTCCACTTTGGAAAAAAAATAACTTCAACTCTAGGATAAATGAATGAAAGATTAAAAACCCCTACAACTTCTTTGTTTGTAGGGGAACAGGGCACAATAGCAGCTAGGGTGGCCTACATAATAGGGGACCTCACACTGAAAAGCACCGGCAGGATGAGTGAAGGACTCTCTGGTTTCCCAAAGCCTAGAGAGGCACATTGAGGTTCTTCTGAGGCAGGGGTATCAAACTCAATTTCATTGAGGGCTGCATCAGAGTTGTGTTTGACCTCAGGGGGCCAGGGTGGGCATGACCAGCTCAACATCACTTGTGGGGGGGTGCCTGTGGTGGCCCAAGTGCTCTGCTAGCAAAAACGGGCTCCCAAGCTCCGTTTTCAGCTGTGATGGCCTCCTGCAACCCTCTGCCAATGAAAACGGAGCTCAGGAGGGCCGTACGTGGCTCTCCCAAGTTCTGATTTTTGCTGGCAGAGGCACCATGGGCCGGTCCTTCGCTTTTTCCAAGGCAGCCCCATGGGCCCTGTGGGCCAGATCCGGCCCCTGGGTCTGGAGTTTGACACCCTTGTTTCTAAGGGGTTTCCTTTATTGTTCCTCACCTCTAGAGAGATATCTTGCAAAACTAAAGCCAACTACTTGCACCATGAAATGCACATTTTGGGAATGATTAGGGAGGGACTGTCTTCTCCCTCTTCCTCCCACCCAAACTATCCAAACTCTGCTGCCTTTTGCTCAGGGGTAGGATTCTACCAGTTCGCACCTATTCCCTAGAACAGGTTGTTAACATTCTAAGCAGTTCGGAGAACCAGTTGTTAGAAGAAATTACTGGCCTAATCCTGTAAGGAAGGCAGGAAGGAAACATTCTGGTGTTGCTTACAGAAACTGCCTCTCCATTAACCCTTATTACATTCTTGGCAGGACTAGACTTCCTGTCTCAGGAACGTCTCTGGAGTTTTTTTCACCTCCTTTGTGTGGAGTGACCATTTAAAGTTACAATGGCACTGAAAAAAGTGACTAATGACCATTTTTCACACTTACGACTGTTGCAGCATCCCCACAGTCATGAGAGGCCAGGCGAGGAGATGCGTGCCTCGATGTGAGTGATATAGAGTTGACCACACCCAGCCAATAACATGACCACCAAGCCATGTGCACCCAGTCACATGACCACCAAGCCACACCCACCACCTAAGCCACACCCACAAAACCGGTTGTTAAAAAAATTGAATCCCACTCCTGCTTTTGCTACTCCAAAATGCATTCTTTCTCTCCTGGGAAAATCCAGTTAGCATTCGACCACAGGGACATCCCAACAACCTCCTAACCATAAAAGAAGGATTCTGTAAATTTGACATACTGAACCAATCGTCCCTGTGTTCCAACTTTAAAAACAAAAATGATAACAACCGATTCAAAGTAAAACCTTAGTTTTATATATTCTGAAGACACAGTGGCTTAAAAAGACCTACAGTAGAAAATTGTTAATCGACCTGCCCAAGGTTTCCAAAATCATAATGTCCCATGTCTTCTGCTCTCTAAGGCAGAAGCCTCCAACCTCGGCAACTTTAAGAGCTGTGAATTTCAACTCCCAGAATTCTCCAGCCAGCATGACTGGCTGGGGAACTCTGGAAGTCGAAGTCTACAACTCTTAGAGTTGCCAAGGTTGGAGGCTCCTGCTCTAAGGGATGGCTTTCTAAACTGCCAACATTGGCATGCCTTCTTTAAACATCACCCTCTCGTTGCAATCATGCAGATGAGGCCAATCCTTGGTGGAACATAAAGCCATGAGGTTGTGCATTGATGACATTGTTCTGTGTAAGAGAGAAATAAGATCTCCTTGAGAAAGGAGTTTGTTTCCTCAGAAATAATTTAAGGCAGATCAATACCAGACATGTAGGCATGTTGATTGGCATGGTTCTGTGTCTTCCAAAGTTTCCCAAAATGGTTCTTGAGAAGACAAGTGTAAGCAGGCAAGATAGGAACCGCAGAAAGAAACCTAGGTTGGTGCAGGCTACTTGGCACAGAAAAAGTTTCTGAACTGAGTGAAGCTGCCAAAAGTGGAGAAAGCTTGGCAAATAGGAACAGAGCTGCTCCAGAGTCTGGCATTTGTGAAAGAACCATTCAGAGTTGAGTAACTATGCCAGATGGGGCAGGTGTGCAGCCTGGAAGCTACACAGGTGTAAGATGAGACATTCATAGCCATTCATTGGGCCATTTTGGTCAAAACCAGCTGGATTGTCATCACATGGCAGGCACAAAGGCCTACAGGCTGCCTCCAGCAAAGAGGCAAGTGTGGGCATACAAGCCAGCAGGGGCTTGGCAGCACACGGGCAAGAAATGACGTATGCATCTATTTAGCACATTCCTTAGATCAAACGCGCAGGTGGCATGATGGGGCCCACGGAGTAAGGACACATGACATGCAGCTGAAAAGTGGGTGGCCTTGGAAAGTCAGCATCATACAATATTTTTGAGGCCTGGTTAAAAATACGGGAGAATCCTTGAACCTACAAGTATTCCTTTAGCCTGAATGAATATTTGAAAACTTCCCCCAACTCTCTACGCCCTGAACAATCAGAGCTACAAGTCTGGAGGATTGTAGGGAAATAATATAACAATTGACAAAAGCATCAGCAGAATGAGGAGAAACCCTTACTTGTTCTCAGGATTCAGTATGGATACTCCAGAGTCTTGATAATTGTGAGCAAATCTGGATTGATCCTGCCACCTCAAGTCCTACAGTTCACATCTTCAGAGAGGTAAACATAAGTAGATATCTCATTGTCCCTGCTGAGTTACCCCAAACCTCAGCTACAAAAGCCCTCCTTTCTGTGTTCAATAAAGAGAGAGTTTCAGGTTTCTTCTAAGGGACCTTCTCTGACTTTAACTTCTGTATCTGATCAAAAAGGATTGCCTTCATTTTCCTCTCCTCCCCCCTTTAACATGACTTGTTTGTTTGTTTGTTTGTCAAGCATGTATGAGAAAACAAGTATAAGTATGATCATAACATATAAACATATAAGCATAAACAGGTATATGTATATAAATAATAAATGAGTACGAATACATGGATAAATGGGAACAGTATCACTCATCTTCTGTGTTCTGGAAAATCCTCACCAGCTCATCCTTCCACTGTTGTGAGAAGATACTGAGATATTGTTTCCATTTGTATTCTTTCAACCCAGGTTAACAATGCCATCCAAATACTTTGCATAAAAGTATTTATATATACAATGGAGATAGAACACGATGAGAGAGAGCGACACCCTCTCATGGCCTCCCTTATATAGACAGCTTCTTAAAGTGGCAATAACCCTGCTGACCCATCCTCAGTCATAAAGTGGCAATAACCCTGCTGATTCCTCCTCTTTGCATCAGCATTTACAACAGCTGGTCAGCTATTAAATCTTCATTACCTTAACAAATGTCCTCCAGTAATGCAGCCTAAACCAAACCAACACAGGAGATATTTCACAAGAAAAATGTATCTGGCACTAATCACTAATTCACTCACTAATCACTGAGCTTGGTGGCCTCCAGAATAGGTCCAACATAATGTTGGTTATACTACATTGGCTTGTTCAATGTTTTCTTGGCATCTCTCTGCTCAACCAGACTGCTTGAGATGCTGCTGGATGGATGAGCATCAGCTACACTCCACAGCATCAAAGTCCAGAGCTATCTGCTTCTCCTGCAAGATTGTGGATATCCTGGGATATGTAATATTTCCCCTGTAAAAGGACATCTCTAGTAGTTCCTCTATCTGGATCTACCAGATAAAAATCATAGCACTCACTAGTTCAAAGCCAAGATAGATAACATCCTAATGTCTTCTGGTCCTCTAATGGTTGTCCAGATTTTTACAGTCCAGAACTGATAGATGGATTTAATAATCTATACAATAGTTAAGTCTACCTAATTAAAAAAAAGTCTTTTTTAAATAATCTTGAATGAAAAAGCACAAAACCTTAACAGCAAAGATGGCATGCTTATTGGGCAATCCTTTGACTTCTGACCGTAATGAAACCCAGACTTTCTGTCATAAGTCTTGACTGTCATAAGTTGAGGCACCCATGTGACCGGCCCTGATGTTGTGAGGTTTTGGTGTGGATTTTTTGTGTGTGTGTGTGTGGCAGTTGATAAGTGGAGATTGTAATTGTTAAATGAATGAATGTATTATCACGGGTGTTTTTTGCCAGAAGCCAGCTGAAATGGCCACAAACTGGCAAAAACATCCTACATCATAGTCATGTGACCACCTCACACTGCAACCAGCCACACAGGTGATCCAGGTGATCAGGTGACCACTAGGGTGGTGTGCAGTCATTGGATCCCTGGAACTGGGTCATTAACCTTTGGAGACTCCATTGTAACTTTGAACAGTTGCCGAGCAACCAGTCATTAAGCGAGGACTACCTGTATAGACTAGACATATTTCTCGCATCCAGTTGTTTAAAATAGTAATATGTACCTGGTATCTATGTACCCTACTCAATATAAGGAGATACTCCTTAAGGAATCCTGTTTGCAGGCCATTTTGGTTGTCCTAGAATTAATTTTTAATTTCTTTGCTTTGATGTTTAATGCGTAATAAAAAGAAAGAAGAAGAATCATGTACGCACTGAATCTCAGCTTCTCTTAGATCAAATACCCTAGAGTCTTTCCGCCAGAGAAAAACAATCTTCTTAGCTGAGGCTCACAGACAATGCATTTACAATTCTTCATGCCTTAATAGATTCCAAATTTCTGGAATATAATTTAACATCACATTCACATCTTTGACCCTTATTTCTTTTCCCAATGCACTATTTACAACCTTATGAATATTAAATCAAAAGGTGTCAACATAGAACAGGCCCTAAACATATTTTTTCAATTACACCATCAGGCTTATATTTTGACCTTTATTGCTTCCTGGAACTCAAGCAATTTATTTCAAAAACCATTATGGACTCCCCTGGAAAGTTATTATCTTTTCCCTTTAATAGTTTAGCAGGGCCTTGGTTCTTATTTTACTCATAACTCAGTTGCTTTCCCCATATCAAAAGCTTTAAAACATATTTTGGAATCTGTTGAGAAGGTGCGTCAGATATGATCGCAGGCAAACTTGACATTATAAGATAATCCGACCCTGACGATTGCTGACAAACCATTCTTCTGGAATTAATGGAGAAAATAGACATTAACATTTTGGTCCAGCTCATTGCTAATTAAAACTTTTAAATGTTTCACAACAATAACTTGGATGATGTAAGATTGCTGAGTGACAACATGTACCATTAAAACCCCTTGTTGCTGAATCTAGATTTATTTTCTGAATCTAGAGAAATTTTCACTTTCAGTATATTAAGAGACATGGTTAATTCACAATTTGGAATATGGAATTGGACTGTCCTATTTCAAAATATCAATGGGCTATGGTAATTAAAGGACGTTTGGAAACGAGAACAGCCAAGAAATTTTCCAGTGAGCATAGAAAGGCTGCTGAAGTCAAAGTGATAGAATGACATGAAGGTATAGGATAGGTGGTACCTGGCTCAACAGTGAGAGGGATCTAGATGTCCTAGTGGACAATCACTTAAGTATTAGCCAGCAGTATGCCCAAAAAAGCCAACACAGTCCTGAGCTACTACAACAGATGGATAACAGCAAGACCACAAGAAGTGACAGTACCCCTCCAGACTGCTCCGGTGATGCCACATACAGAATATTGTGTCCAGTTTTGGTCACCCTGTTATTAAAAAAGATGCTAAGATTCTAGAAAGAGTACAGAGAAGGGGAACCCAGATAAGGAGGGAACTGGAGGCTAACTCGTACAGTGAACAGATGAGGGAATGAAGTATGTTTAGTCTAATGAAAAGGAGGTTTAGGAATGATACGATAGCAGTCTTCAGTACTTGAGGGGCAGTCACAGACAAGAGAAGATTGTCTTATTCTCCAAAGAATGAGGGCAAGACAAGAAACAACAGATGGAAGTGCCTCAGAGGGAAATCCAATTGGTAGTGAGAACAATTAATCAATGGAACAGCTTGCTTCCAGGAGTTGTGGGTGCTCCATTGCTGGAGGTTTTCAAGAAGAAATTGAACAGCCATTTGTCAGGGATGCTGTAAGGACTCCTCTCTAGAAGGCTTCCAAGGTCTCTTTCCTCCTATGATTGCATGATGTTCTAACAGCAAAGCACCTGATGTGTTGACTTCTTGTCTCTTATAAATGAATGATTCTCATGTATTTTCCTCCTTAGGTTATCTCCTGGTTCAAAAACACCACAGAACGCTTCAATAAATATGCAACTGCCTTCAAGAGAAACAAGCTCTTATTTCAAGAATGCGGCTCCAAGAAACATGGGGGGCTACTCATCACCAAGAGCCAATTCTGTTCCCATCATCCCTTCGGTGGGCTTAGATGAAGCCTGCATGCAGACTCAAAACATTTCGGACATCACAGGCATCAAGTGGTGCAAGAACTCTTATTCCACCGAAATGGTCAACTTGAGTGCCCCAGCCAGCAGCTGTCTTATTGCAGAACAACAAGAAGTGAAACTATTGTTAGAAACTGTCCAGGAACAGATCCGAATTCTGACCGACGCAAGGAGGTCAGACAATTTTGACCCTTCCAAGGTCAAGGCGGAGAACAGTAGGAGTGGAAACACGGTTTTTCTGCCCATGAGCCCAGTGGCAAAATCAGAGCGAGATGAGGCACACTTTGTCTTAAAAAGTGAATCAAAAAGAGACTTGGCATCGATCAAGTGACTTTGACCCTGGGGGGGATGGGTGGGAGGGTAAGATGGGGGG